CAAAGCAGCTTTTACCAGACAGCACAAGAAAATTAAAATCTTAAAGGGCCACATCTCTGTGATAAAGCTTGTGTTGCAACTCCTTGTCCTGGTACAAGTGCCATCTGCAAATATCAATAAATCGCATTAATTTTATTTTTCCTATTTTTATATGTGGTAGAAATATCCACCCATAAAAGAATATGCTGTAGGCTGCATAATCCAACTGCTGTGGTAAGAAGTCTAAGAACTACAAGACAAATAACATGAAATAAGATTATTATCTTGTTCTGTATTGCTCCAAATATTAAACTGAACCTGAGAAATTGCATATGTTGCTGGAACCTCAACCCTGAAATATTTACTTAAAAGCAAGGACAAATAATTTGAAAGGAGCTTACTTTTTCAGAAAGTAGAATCACAGCCTATAACTCAGTCCCTCTGAACATGTATTTATCTTTAAGTAAAATCCTACTGATTTTCACACTAGGTTGTTCAACTGCTTACAGGTAAGGATGTGTTTTGCTAGATTATGCTTTCTATCTTGAGGCCTAGTTGAATAATAAGATTTCACATGCCATATGATTTAAGATTAAAAATTTGAAAAGAACAATGTTTAAAACCAATAGCATGGACAAATCAACTTTATTCCTGAAAGCAGTTGATAGAAAGAAAGTGAAGAGAAACCTGGATATTCTGTTGTGAGAAATAATTTTTATTGCAGTATTTTAATGTCTTTTTTCATTGTTAATAGTGGATAGGTATTGATCCCTCTTCTCTAACTCTGAAAAAGAAATCACTTCCAGTATGTGCACAAACCCCCAAAGACAGAACTTAAACCTGGGGATTTGTCCTGCTTATAGTGGTAGTAGAGAGGAGGAATGAATGTCTGGGAAACAATTAATTGTAGGGGAAATTAATTTGGGGAAAAAAATCTCTCTGAGAAATTAACTTGTGAAAAGAGAAGGTACACTCAATAGAACATACTAGGTACAGTATTAAAATATGAGAAGATCTCCATTTGGTCACTACAGAAGATCTACTTTTACACTGCCCTGAATTCTGTCTTTACACAGTCAGTGGCAAGCAGCCAGGTACCTCTGAAAGCTCAAAACCAGGACACAAAGATCAGATAGTTATCATGTGTTGCTTAACTCTAGAATTATTTGATATCCAGAGGTATACTGACCATGAAGACTGATGTTCCTCTTTACTACAATGAATTATAGTTTTTCTGTTTTTAGTTCCTATGAATTTTAAAACAAACAAAAAACAAACAAACAAACAAGCCCACAACCATCACCATATCTCCTGGCAGTAAATTCCACAAGTCAATGATAGGTTAGGATAGGCAACCTCCAGATATCCAGGGCCCAGAAACACCCATCCCCAAACTTTGAAGTGCCATACCTGCACCTGCTCCTGTCTCTCTCTCTCTCTCTCTCTCTCACACACACACACACACACACACACACACCTTTTTTCCTTTTTTTTTTTTACAAATGGTATGTTTCCTCCCTACTGAACTGCTTTGTACCCTATAGTGACCAAAGGTATTTTTAAAATAGATTTTTAAAAGTGAGAGCATGAGGGCCCCAGGAGTTCTGAGGGCCCTCAAACTTGTTAAAATTTCCCCTGAGCCCTGAGGTGAGAAAGGGTTTGTTGGGGGGGGGGTTGAGCCCAAAAAGTGTGGCATGTGGTGAGAGTGTTGGGAGGACTGGATTTGGTTCCCTGGGAGTCACTTGTGATCTGGAACTCTGTTCTGCATGAAGAATCTGTATCTGCAGTATTTGCTTTGTGAGCCCAGTAGCATTTGCTTTTTCCACTTTCGCTTCCACAAACATGGAAGAATTAGGAGGAGAAAAAATTAAGAGCTTGTGCCAAATGGTAATTATGTAGAAATTTCCATTACTTAAGAATGATAATTTGGAGAAGGGAAAATTACGGGAGATGCATTTGGGCCATGTTTTCAGTTTGTGCTCTCAGTCAGTGTTAAGTCTCAGATTCACTACATAGCAGCAACAAGTGGGGGTGATGGTGATCAAAGGAGTAACACAGGGATCCTGCCTAGACTCTTCTTTTCTTATTCACTCTGTGCAAGTCACTGGCGTGTTCCACCTAATGCAAGCATCTGTTTGCAATACAAGGCAGTCAAAAGCCTCTTGAAACATTGTAAGAATAGCATGAAAAGCCAAAAGCCGTTGCTAGTTTGCTTGTTCATAGTATCCAGTGTTCAGATGTATACTGCATTTGAACATGCTGCATCTGGCCCTGCAAGATTAATTGAGCTAACATGGCTGATAGAAAGGCCATTTTTTGGTTGAGCAGAAATAACAGACTAGGCAGAAGGAATTTTAGATTACATGCAGTCACAACAAGTTGTTCTGGTCATGATTTGACAGGACAGGTGGGGCTGGAAGCATTCATTCTCATTCTGGAGTAGCAGTAGGAGTCCTGGTAAACAGCATTCCTTGGTCTTCTCATTATCGTGAGGTGGCTGATATTGCAGATCATAATGTAACAGGAGAAAAACATCTGGTCACAAACACACACAAACTCCATTTAAACTGTGTGTCCGAGCAACACCCAACATTCCCCTCTAACAGCGTTGACAACACTCAATCCAGTAACACCTGAATAGGGCTTAGGTCAGTGATGGCGAACCTATGGCACGTGTGCCACAGCTGGCACACAGAGCCCTCTCTGTGGGCACACAAGTCGTAAGTCACCATAAAGAATACTTACCTGTCCTCCGATCCCGGATTTCGGCACTCCCCTCTGCTGGTGCAGTGGTCCAGCGGAGGAGTGCAATGGCGACCATTACCGGTCTAACCCTATGGTGGATTGGAGGACCAGTAAGTATTTATTTGTTAATACCGCCCATAGGAAAAAAGAACAACAACCAAGCATTTAACACTTGCAGTGCAGGAGCAGTTGTTTTTTCTAAACTAAAACTTCAGCATTCGGGTTTTAATTGCAGTATTGGCAGTTTGAAATAAATAAGTTGAATTTGTGTTGCAGTTTGGGCACTCGGGCTCAAAAAGGTTCACCATCACTGACTTAGGTAATGTAGCATCTCCAAAATTAAATATTGCCTTATTCTGGATCAGCTGTGTTATGTACAGCAGAAATCTCAAAGGTATATTTCTGCTCAAAGCAGAAGGTATCAAAAACATGAGAAACTGAGGGGGCAAATCCAAATCTGAGAGTCTGCAGGTCAAAGCACATAGAATGGGCATGTTGATGCCCTTTTCTATTACAAAAAGTAGCTGTGAAGCCTAAGGGGATTATGTCATAGAGAAGTGGAGGTCAAATCCTTTGCCTTACACCACAGTCTCAATCTGAACTATTCTTCTAAACTGCTATTAGGTACAGAGGAGGACAGTTTCATGTTTACACTTAGAATCCTATACATTAAACCCACAGGTTATCCTCTTCCTCCATTGCAAACAACATATTGGGGGGATCTGGATTGGGCTACATCACAGATGCCACAGGTGGTTCACAGACCAAGCAGAGGAAACAACTCACTTCTAATTATGAGAGGAAAACCCTTCCTTCAACTCATTCAGGACACATGCCATTTATGCTGGGATTCAAAGCATTCTCTTCCCTATATCTCATAATATGGCCCAAATCCAAAACAGACACTCAATGACCTTTTAAAAATTGTGTAGGATAGCAGGAATTACAGAAGTGGAACTCCCATACCATCTATAGTTTGGCTTTGGAAATCAGGAAAATATACCTGAAAGGGGCAGAATAGTCCGTTATGCTACAGAGCATTGTTTTAGTAAATTGTGCATCTAAGATTTCAAAGAAAAAGAACACAGAAGAAAGAAAGCTCATTGGCCTCAGGCTCTGAATTTATTGGCAATAAATCTATGCCTCTTCAATGTGTTAATTTATTCATCAGCAATCATTGAACCATGATCTGTTAGCATTCATGGTTTGCTCAGTCAAAACTAGGAACAGAATGAGCAATGAAATATGCTGGAAAAGATGCAGATATTAAGAATGCAGGCACAACACCCATCTTGAAAGCATTTAAGGTGGGGCAGGACAGTATCACTGCTCCAGAAAATTAGACATACCTGATTTGGATAAATTATAATATTTAATAATCATGATTCAAAAAAGAATAAAGGCTCAAGAAAGCACAACTGCTCTAACATTGAATTAGATCTTCCAGCAGTACATTCATTAATAGTTACAATGCAGTAGCATGAAAAGCCAATGGTCTGCTATCATCTTTGCAACCCACAACACAGTGACCTCTGTTTAATGCTGCTAAGCAGTCTGGCCTACCATGAAACATCTTCATGTATAATTTATCTTGTTTGCAAATCTGTTCACACACTAACAACAATTTAGGAAATGAAAGCAAAGGGGGGGGATATTAAGAAAAGGAATGGGAGTTAAGGGCTCCCCCATTGCCCACACATCTTTTTCCATTTCTTAACAGGTATTGTTAACAAAAAATCCAAAACTCTCAAATAAAGCAGTGTTCATTTAATGACATTTTTATTTAATCTGTATTTAACAAATATAAATTAAAATGAACCCAAGTTAAGTAATTGAGAGTTCTGAGGTCTGGGAAGGAACTAGTTTGCATGCTTATTGGTGTCCATCTCAACATCCTTGGAAGAGAAGAGGCTCAGTCAGTTGCCTCATTCCGTCCCCACTTACACACATGCACTTACGCACACACAACCTGAGTTTGTTAAAGAGTCTCATCGTGCCACTTGCCATTCTCCTGGTGACTAGAAATACTTCTCAATAGGAAACCAACTTCAGAGGAGAATCACATTACATTTGGAGAAAGCAAGGCATAAATTATCATTAATACATGAGCTCACAGGCTGTAAAACTCACCAAAAGCATACATGTTATTACTAATACAATCAGCCAATAACTGAATTATGGTTGTAACATTTCTAAAGAGACTCAAGAGGTGTCAACTAAAAAGAAAATGCATTTGTGGCAAGAAAATGACACTATCAATTTGTGGCCACATTTACCTTTTTGTCACTCAGTCCAGACACTTGGTCCACGTACTCTTCTTGGATCATGAAGGCAGCCAAATTGGCAGTGTAACTCGCCAGAAAGATGACAGCAAAGAAGGCCCACACAGACACCATGATCTTGCTAGTGGTTCCCTTAGGATTCTGCACTGGCACAGAGTTGTTAAATACCAGACCCCACAGTAGCCAGATTGCTTTGCCAATGGTGAAAGATGGACCACCAGGCTCTGAAATGAACAAAATTAAAACACAAGTAGTAAAAGGACTGGAACAATCATTCTATGCTATGAGTGAACACACACAACCGTCAAACATATACTACACTTCTCTCATATCCGATATGCTATCCAACTGCCAAACCACCAACTGATTACTGAATTAGAACTTTCCCCCATGTCTTCCCATTTAATATTAATTGTGTCTTATAGCACAGTCTATATGCACTTTCAAATTTACGTCCTAGTCAGTATGGGATTTCAGACCAAGGTTAATATCAGCACAGTTAGCTTCTAAAACCAGTACAGTGGGGTCTCGACTTACGAACTTAATCCGTATTGGAAGGCAGTTCTCAGGTCGAAAAGTTCTTAAGTCGAATCTGCATTTCCCATAGGAATGCATTGAAAACCATTTAATCCGTATCTGCTCTTTTCGTCCATAGAAACTAATGGGAAGCTGCTATTCCACCTTCTGCCACTAGAGGGGGATATTTTTTTCCTTTTTTCCTTTTAACCTAAGATGACTTAGCATTAAAAAAAAGGGGGGGGGAAGAGTTCGTAACTCGAATCTAAATTCGTAAGTCGAGTCCATATATTCCTATGAGAGCGGTTCGTAAGTCGAAACGTTCGTATGTCGAGCCGTTCGTAAGTCGAGACCCCACTGTGTTAGATGCAGATTAAGAGATCTTGTTTAGAAACTAACTAGCTTTAGCAGAAATTATATTTATGCTAGCTCAGATATAATGACATAAAGAAGACAGGAAGCACACCACACCTTTACAGAACTTTACAACTTTTTAAAAAAGCAAACATTCAGCAATACAGAGGGTATTGCTAGTGTTCATCCAATCCCTTTTAAGGATTACATGAGTTTTCCTTTGCTTTAGTAATCCCAAAAAGGAAAGTAAAAAGACTAATTTTGTTTAAAGATTTTTTAAAAAAAAACACCCTAAATTTTGATAAAGACATAAATAGTATACAAGGGGAAGTACTGGTGCACTTGTTACTGAACATAGCAGTAACATGCAGTCACTATTCATAATCATAGAAGAAAACAAACTTAATTTTCCATCCACAAAATATTGTAGCTGGAGTGAAGGAAAAAGCAATCCTTCTTCAGCAGAACAGTCTTGAAGAGAGATTCCTAGATTCTGAAAACCAAATGAGCGTAAAAGGAGAAATCTCCATTAGAGGTGAGTTTGGATGAAGTAAAATCAGGCATGAATCCTCACTTAGCTATGAGTAATCCTGAAGAAAGCCTTTCTCTCACCCTACTTCAATTTCTAGATTAGAAGCTAAAATTAGCACAGTAAGACGTATCCAAAATATCCTCTGGCTGGATAACTACATCAATTTACGAATCCACCATTTCTTTACCTGCAGCTAACCATAAATCTGCAAGGGGAGACCTCCAAAGTGACTAACCCTAGAAGCAGGGGAAGGATTTATTTGCATACCTGCTTATAAAACAGGCAGGAGCATGCAGAGTTGCCTTTCAAGTCCCAGCATACTTAAGCACCCCTTCACAAACATACTGTACCTAGATCTTTCTCATATTAGAGTTTTGAGACACTGAAGAGCACTCCCATGAGTGAACCTTGGATTTCACAATAGCTCTAACCTTGTAACAAATTATGGCATGTGGTACCATACCTATTGTCCTTCTAGTAAATAATCTCCTGCACAAGTAGGGGGAAAGCATGCCCTTCAAATTCTACAAAGTCACTGCTATCTGAACAACAAGAATCATTGTTGCAGCACATTACAATGCGCAGAAAGTTCTTTCACACAGTCTCTCTTTTCCCTTCTGCTTTTACAGAGAACTAACTTGAGCTGGGTTTACAGGCTCTATTAGTTATGCTTATTAATGCAGCCTTATGTGCCACAATCTAGCTGACTTTCAATAAGAATTGAATGAATGTATCTGATGGCAAATCTGGCTCCTACATACGCAATGCAGATGAGATAAGTTATTATGAGAAACATCCATTTTGCATTTCTTGGCTTTTTTGAATATTTAATAGTGAAGCATTTCATCAACATTTATTTTTGCATGCAAATTAATTTGTCTCTGCATTGATGCTTGTAATTTGCATTTTAAAATTTTGTACATGGAAACAAGGAACTTTTAAAAGAGAAATAAAAATAGATAAGTAAAATTAAAGACCAGCATCCCATTTAAGTTACTGCACCTAGAACAGCAGTCATGAAAGCAAATATAACTAACAGTCAAAGGGCTAAGCATATGCATGGCATGGGGATGGCACTTCATCACTTGGTTGCATCCACTTCTCCAGCTGCCATCTTCATGTGGTAATGACCAGAAGACTGGCGGCCATAGACTGCAAATGTATTTCACACTACCTCAGATTTGTATGGCTTGCTTTTTATTTTACTAGAATTCTCATGGACCAATGATATTTTAGGAACTTAAAATCAAGGCTGCTGAATATGCCCTCACAAACACACTAAGTGCCCTGCCCAATGAGATGAAAGTCCACCTTGGCAAGAATCACATCAGTCTCCAAGATTTGATGATCCACTGGAAGTGGACCAGTGGTCACAAAGTAGTGGAAAAGGAGCCTTATTTGGGTAGTTCCTTACCATGTACGACAAACATCATCCCTGACCCATCCATCTCTGGTTTATCACCCGGCAGAGGTGAGCAAGTTTAGAAAGTCCAAAGGGGCCATTTTTCTATTTCATCCATCTCTGGTTTATCACCCTTCCATGTGTGCAGCAAGTATAGAAAGTCCAAAGGGGCCATTTTTCTATTCTTGGGACACTCTTAGGGTTGTATAGGCCAGGAATAGACAAAAACAGAAAACATTCTCAGTTCTCAAAATTTATGGATGCCTGTTTTGGCTTTTCTCACTGATCATTTCCAGTCCTCTGATGTTCATAAATTGTTACATTAAATTAAATTATTTTGCACTGGAGAAAGACTGTCTACTGAAAGGAAAACTTCTTGAATGGCATGAGGTTTCTAATTCTGTGATGTTTGGTTCTATGATACACATGTGCACAGTCTAGAATTACCTTTAGGACTTTACAGCATTACAGACTTTACATTTACAAATATTACACAGTGGGGTCAGAAGGAGGAAGAGACCTTGATCTGAGGAAGAGCTATAATCAACAGGATAATCAAGTAGGGGGAAAAAAGTCATGAATCAACTAAGAATTCTTTTATCCTCAAATAAGAATTCTGTCCTAAGTAGAGACAGCCAAAAATGTCAGAAATGCTGAGAACACCATTGTTCCTGTTGCTGTTCTGTGCCATCAAGCTACATCCAACTATCTCCTTTTGAAAATGTGGTATTTTTATGGTACTAGGTAATCCATGATAGCTTTGAGACCTATTTAAAAGATGCACCACCATCTCAACTTCCTAAAGACTTTCTGAAACCACCATTTGACTTCTTTTTCTTTTTTGTTTTGCCAGAAACAGGGGCTGCAAGACAATTGTGTGCTACAGAGCAACTTTGGCAGGTAGCATATGGTACAGGAGCTGCCATTAAGGTCACTTGCTATAGGAATTCTAAAAGATAAAACTCTTCAAGCACCCTTAGAATAAGGAGGTCAGCATCTACTTTCTGTTCACCCCTGTTTTATGGGATCGCCAAGTAATTATTATTTTTTTAAAACTAACCCCATGCAACACAATGAAGCAGATGATTTTGACAAACTTGAGCCATGTTTCTCTAACTCCATCTTGAAAGTTAAAGAAAAAGTATATTGTTGAATAATAAAGTGATATGAAAGCAATCTTGAATGTAGCATTTACTGTCGAGAAAACCACACTATTGTTACTCATGGTGACTTTGTGTTATACATGTATCTCAGTCATTTCATACACAGGATCAAGTTCTACCACACAGACCATTTCAAGCTGCTTACTACTCACATCGCACCTATACTCACAATGTCTACTTCACTGTGCATATGTAAACAGTCTACATATTAATACCTACATTAACATTTACAACTCTGCATACATCTCCTCAGACATGTGCATTAGCCCTTGTGCACTGTCTACAGCTCATGGATAGCAACTCTCTTTGGCATAACTATATATAAGGCTCTGACTAAATTTCCATTACAGATCTCTTTTCTTCAGGGCTCTGAAACCTGACAGCATAAATCTACTCAGGAAAATTTGGCAAACAGATAAAAAGTTCTGCAGAATTATCTCCATTCAAGCATTTTACCATTGTCAGCCTGTAGGTAAGCCAGAAGGCCCTTAGGTAGGGGGCCATTTCACAGCTTAATGAAGCTTAGGAGACACTACCAGTAACATATCAGCATCCAAGCGATCTGTTCATATAATACATTTCCTGTGTCTGCCTTTGGCCCTCTGCTCATAAATTATTTGGTTAGTGACAGAACTCTGCTCTCCCTGCCTCCAACACTTCCAATTTCTCTCCATTTACCCCCACCAAAGTAATGCCAATGCTTAAATGTTAACTTCAGCTTTCATTGGCACAAAAATACATTTTTAAATTCATGAGTCTTATGGCATCTAGAAGATTTACAAGTTTTATTCAGCAGAAGCTTTCATCGGCTGTAGCCCACTTCTTCAGAGGGAAAATGCCTCTGTAGAAGTAGGCTACAATGCTCAATACAACATACAGTACTAATCTTCATGGTGCCACAAAGTTCCTTGCTGTTTTCATTGCAACAGACTAACAGAGATTTTTTTTTCATTTAATTTAATGTACAATATCTCTCAAACCAATTGAAGTAGAAGGATATGTATGACAGGGATAAGGCTCACCTTAGCTGCTTCGTGTTTTTGGTTCCAGAAACTAGTCTGTTAGCCATTTTAGATTATCTAACTATCTTTTTCCTTTCCTTCATCAATATCTCTCTCACACACACTGTAATCTGGGTATGAATTAATTTCTGAGGGGTTAATGTGCAGAGGTTTTCTATTAGGTACTTTGAGGGAATCAATGAAAGGATATAATTCTATTAAAGTAATTAGGATAATGAGAGACAGATTACTGCAATATTACATTGATAGCATTGTAATATCGCCATCATCATACAACTTTCCAGTTACCCAGCCAAGGAATTCAAGGGAAGCAGAACCAAAGCAGAAAAACTAATCAAGGAGTTGCAAATAATCTTTCTAGAAATTAGAGCTAAAATTCATATGCATGACAAATTTTGCAAAATGTTGCATATTTGCTGAGTACTAATTCAAAAGTGAGCACTTCTCCAAATGAATTAATATTTCAGCTTGACAGTAGCACATTTACTTTGGAGATGTTCCAAGAAAACATGCATAGAATTGGGCTGCTAGTTTCAAGTCAATGAGAAATGAAATTCTCTGTATTATGAGCAGGCAATTATTCTATCATCCAAAGAGATTCATTCAGATTCTTTACAATTCATACCATTTTAAACCATTTTATTCATCTTCTTCATTCCTTGTCTACTCAGAGCATATACTAATATGTAAATGGTTGGCATGTCTCCATGAGGAAAATAAACATACCACTGCCAGAACAACCAAGACAGACACAGAAAAACCTTATGACAGTACTGTAAAAGGTGTATTTCTTTACCTCTGCCATCTGCAAGACACCGATTGTATCCCACAGGGCTGAAGTACTCAAAGACAAAGACAGCCACCGCAGATATGATAAGCAGCATAACAAACATCATCACCCACACATCAGCACTGAATGGTTCTGGAAAGGAGAAGACATAATTATTTCACAGGAATTTTTCCAACCGCAACCCAAGTGCAAACCACCTGTGAGGCATGGACAGCTCACTTTGCCTCTTGAAATGAAAGCCAGAATAAGTAGACCAGGAAAGCCTAGTCTAGAGGCACATACTGCTTCAACCTATAGAATAGCTGGACTCTGTGACCTGAGCACATTGGGTGAGTTGCGTCTCTATGCTTTGAACTTTCTCGCTGTTCTAAAATTTTTCTGATATTGTTTTCAGCATTGCAGTGGAGCCAGATATGGCCACTAAAGACATGTTTTAAGGTAACATAGTAGTCCTAAAATCTGTGATAAACCATTCAAAACAGGTCTCATTAGCATCCTGAGTGGCAGATGGTGTACCACCAGATACTTGAATGTTCTTCACATTTACAACCCACTACTCTTTCACTGAAGTCAAGGTAGCATACATGAGTGTCAGTTTCCTTACAGAAACACAACTTTATGCTCATAATAGTTCTGTGAGGCAGGGTAAAAGAGAGCAACTGGTTCAGGGTCATGTTTCAGGGATGTGAATTAATCTCTTTCTGCCTGAAACAGGCTAACTACTACACTGCCCTTTCTAAATAGCTCACTATGGCATGCAGTTGGTCCTAATACAGTGGGTCTTATTCTATCTACTGCACAATAAATGCACACACAACACACACATGTGTGTCTGCATGCCTTGTATGTGTGTGTATATACAGTATGTCTACATCTTGGATGTCGCTAAGGAGCTACTAGTACATCACTTCCTGATATTGTAGAATTTTACTAGTATTTCCAATTTATTCTCAGTCTCCATGGGTTTTGTGAGAAGATCTGGAAACCCATTCTAGGCTTTTGAGACTCTTACTTCACCACCTTTAGCTCCTACAATTTCAGCTGGCATTTCTTATGTGTTATGAAGTATGTCTTCATTATTGTGAGAACTGGAAATTTGCTTTTGTAAAGATGAAGACTAAAATTTATGGGAGGCTGAGATCAGCATCTAGCACCATGTATATTGCTCTTCTTCTGCCTTTCTAGGAAATGGCAATAGAAAGCATCCTTCTGAAGAGATAATATTAGACATGATGGCTGACTGAATCAAGGGGTTGTTACCTTTTTATTTTGATTTTTAGTAACTCCAGAATTATGCACAGCTGATGAAACCTTTTACAAATTATAAAAACAGACATTTGACTCCAGAGGCAAGGTAAGTGTACTTGCGCAAAGAGAATCTACAATTTCTGGTAACAAACTGCCTTTATTATAAAGGATTATTCAGAAAGCTACAGCAGATTGAAGACATGGGGGTGATGCTACAGGAACTACCATTCTTCTCTTTCATCTATAGAGATTCTGATGGTTCCATTTTGTCCCCCATGCTGGTTAACATCTATCTAAACCAAAGTACTGGCAGAGGGTATCCACAAACATCTGGTGTAGTGCACCAGTAAATGAATGACACACCCACCTCTAACTTTGTTTTGCATCTGATTCTAGTGAGGCAGCAAAGTTTCTGAATTGAGTTGTGGTCTAGGCTGGACGTGGGTCAGAACAGTGGAATTTAATCTGAAAGTGCTGCTGGTCAGTAGGAAAGCTAATTCAGGATTGTTGTAGCTTGTTTTGAACTAGATGGCACTCCCTCCTAAGCAATAGCATACTAGAGCCTAGAGATGTGGGATTAGAGAACCAGGAATTTTCAGTTAGCAAGGTGTGCAGAGGCAATGAAGATGGCCAATTCTATGCTAGGTATCATTAAAAGGGGGATTGAAAATCAAACAGCCAACATTATAATGCCATTGTACAAAACGCTGGTAAGGCTGCGCCTGGAGTATTGCATACAGTTCTGGTTGCCACACCTCAAAAAAAAGACATAATGGAACTGGAAAAGGTGCAGAAGGGAGCGACTAAAATGATGACAGGGCTGGGGCACCTCGCTTATAAGGAAAGGCTGCAGTACTTGAGGCTCTTTATTCTAGAGAAAAGGCACCTGAAGGGGGACATGACTGAGACATATAAAAGTATGCAGAGGATGGATAAAGTGAATAGAGGGGAGCTCTTTTCTCTCTCACGCAGTACCAGAAGCAGGAGACAAACACTCAAATTGAGTGTTGGGAAAGTGAGGACAAAAGACAATCTTTCTTTACCCAGCATGTTATTAGTCTGTGGAACACCTTGCCACAGGATGTGGTGATGGAATCTGGCCTAGATGCCTTTAAAAGGGAATTGGGCAGATTTCTGGAGGAAAAGTCCATTGCAGGTTACAAGCCATGATGGGGATGTATAATCTCCAGGCTTTAAAGGAAGGTACCTCGGGGGAGTGGTAGCAGGAGACAGGTATCTAGTTGTCTAGTGTGCTCCCAGAGGCATCTGGTGGGGCCACTGTGAGATACAGGGAGCTGGGCTAGATGGACCCTTGGGGCCTGATCCAGCAGGGCTATTCTTATGTTTTTATGGTATGTCCAATGTTGTCTTGTTCTAGAATCTACATAGGGTTGGGTTTGGGTTGTCCTCAGATGGAACACTACCAGAAATTACCAAGAATCTCTAAACAGGATTAAGAAAGAATCCTGCCTGGAACCCTGGAGAGTTGCTGCCAGTCAGGGTTAACAATATTGGGCTAGATAGTCCAATGGACTGACTCAGTATAAGGCCACTTCCTCTACTGTATTCCAATGGTTCCTCATTTGTTCACAGTCCGTATTCCAAGTGCTGATTACAGTCCAAATGTGTTGAAACCCAGATACCCAAAAGACCACCTGCTTCTGGATTATCCTGTGTGCCACTTGAAATCTGCTGAGTGTGTGTTGTTGGGTTTTTTGGGCGGAGAGGCTTCTCTGTATTTCACCACCTTCTGAAGTACAATCTCCCCCTGCCAGATGGTGTTGACGGGAGAGGGAGATTTTTCGCAGTTAAAGAGTTGCCATCCCATGGATCACATGATTCACATAGAGACTGGTTGCATGCAAATTACAGAAGCTATAGGGCAGAAGCACAAAATTTTTAATTGCTAAAAAAAAAATCTCCCCTTGCCAGTGACATCTTATGTGGTATAATGTACAGAACAGGATTTTGGCAGTGTATGTGGATGCTGATCACTTGCTTGTGAATTTGAAAAAGAACTATAAACATCCTGGGCACATTTGAAGAAATATTTCCCCCTGCACCGTGTCTCAGCTGAAGCATTACCTAAGAAGGCAGAAGGTGAGACAGTGCCATTGCTTCGTGATACCATTACACTGATGCCTGTCTCAATGAAGGGTACAGAAAAGTCAACCACTTCAGAACGTTCTGCATTTATGGTGAGGGATCCCACTGCCATATAGGCACGTTTAGCAACCACCTAGGATGAAGAAAAATAAAAATGATTAATGCAGATTCTAATTAACCCCTCAATTCATGCTCACCTTCCATTGCAAAATATAATTTTACCACTGGCAGCTACAATTACTAATTACAGCAAATAACTTTAACCAGGACTCTCCAATTCCACTGCTTTAAAAGAAGGTAAGTTGACAAAATATAGGTTGGATCCAATATTCCATTTTTTATTTTTTGCTCATATACTTTTCCAGTAGCAGGAATATTAGAAATCTGTAATCTTCTATGCATAATCTCCTCATAATAGGTTTTATGATGCAAATGCCATCCATTTTGCCAAACAAAATCTTTAGTCATTTATTGGTTCCCAAATATAATTACTGCTAGGCACCAAAATTTAGATTTCCATAATGAGATCCAAGTTAGGAGTCAAGTCAGGTTGGGATGTTCTACACTCAGCCAGCTTAAGATCCAGACCAAATGTTATGGCCAGTGCAGATTTCAAATGCATAAGAAATATCATGGGAATAAATGTACCAAAAGTAACAGAAGACAAACTTGTTTCTATTACTGATTCACAACCACCATCACCCACAGCACAATTTTCACATGTCAATTTCTACTTCACACATTTTACCTTTGTGCAAAGTATGATGCAAGCTCACAAATTTGCTTAATGAAAATTCAACTATGAACATTTGTTCAAGTAACCAAATTCAAAGGCTTAGGACCTGTTTACCTAAAGGACCGCCTTCTTCCCTATGAGCCTGCCCTTCTGAAGGCGCCGTCCCTGAAAGAGGTGAGGGGGATGGCATGCCGAAATAGGGCCTTCTCAGCTGTTGCCTCCCATCTTTGGAACATCCTCCCTATAGAGATCCACCTGGCTCCAACACTTTCGGCTTTTCAGTGCCAGGCAAAGATCTTTCTGTTTAGCCAGCATTTTAATTAAATAGTATCCTTTAGCTGGCCATATGAGCTGCAGGATTTATTAATGATATATTGACTGTTTTGATATAGGGTATTATTATAATATTGTCTATTTTTAATGGTTTTAATGTTTTCTAAAGTTTTAATATTGTTGTATGCCACTCAGAGACCATTGGTAATGATGCAGCTAAAAAATTCATGTAATCATGTAAATAAATAAAGAGAGCTATATATAAATAAATGAATAAATAAAGTTTGTGTGTAGATTTCAGTTATACAATTTAATTTGTTTCTAGTGTCTCAGGGACAAGAATCAACCAAGGATGGAAACAGAAACAGAATCACTTCATTTCAATGGTAAGCCTGTAGTTAAAAGTACGAGATTTTGGTTACAGGTTTTAAGCTTTCATAGCTTACCTCGCCTATCATTCCATTCCATGTCCCATTGACCTTCTTCCCGTGTTTACCATTAGTTACCAAGTAAAGGTCATAGGTAAACTTCACAAACTTGGAGATTTTCTTAAGGATATCAATGCAAAACCCTTTGCAACATTTCTTGATATAGGCAGTCTCCTCATCTGTCTTGTTTCTAAAAATCAGAAGAAAACATAATTTGGAACAACTAGTACAAATAGTTTAAATTTAAAACAGAAACACATGCCTGTATTTTTCATCATGCTACACTCAAAAAAGTTGCTTTAAAAATACAGCGATATGCCATGCAATATTTAAAAATATTTTCAATTTTTGTTTTTCTAACCTCAAACATTTTCTACCATCCTCAGGAGAAACAAAACACTGTAAGCAGAGACACCTCCCTACTATTTTAAAGATAAATTACTAATTCCCATTAAAAATCTGCTTGAGATATTTTTATCTATGCCAGAATGAAGCAAAAACTGTCCTTTTAAGCCTCTGCTTCTTTTCCTGACCATCCCTTCTTCCCTTCCTTAATATTCCCCTCATCAAAGAGATGACTTGATGCAGTTAATGCTGTGTAGCACAGCGAGCCAAGCTGATTTGAACAGTGTGATTTGAACAAGTAACAACATGGCTAGCCTGAAACAATCCAGCTGGCTTTGCTAGTGAGAAACATAAAAGGAAAACATGTTAATAGGAACCAGCTGGAGAAAGATCTTGTTGGCACCTACTCTGACACGATTCGTTTTTGGCATGGGACTGTGTTCCTCATACAGGTACCACTTAGCGGGTCCACATTTTCCACAATAACAAATGGTGCTTCTTCTAGGGTCACTATGCTAAGATGATCATCCTCACGTTCCTCACAGTTAGGGTACAGCTCCGAACGTGGCCACACATAATACTTCATCTTAAGGCGCTTGTCCTTCCACCACCCCACCTGAAAGAATACAAAAAACAGAAACATATCATCGCTAAAATGATCAAATTACAACCTAAAGGAACAGCTGAGCCTTGCTGAAGTGTAGAAAAATAATGACTAAAACCAGAGGATGATGCAACTCACTAATTAATTTATTTATTATTATCCTTTGCATTCTCAGTTTATATCACTGATAATCAAAAACAATAACAGTATTACTGTAGGAACATTGTCCCTGATTCAACAATAAAACAATAGCCTAACAACTTGATTAATGGAACATTATTTTTCCTCCTACTTTTGTGCCAATGTGTACTGCTGGCCGTGACTCTTATTGCAGTTTCAAACTCCTCTTGTTCTTAAAAAAAATTTCTTCTCTTCAAGAAATAGAGTCTTTAAACATGTAAAAATTCTTTTCTGGATTTGCTAAATTGAAATTGTCTGATGTGAGTCCTTGGCAGTGGACATTTGCTGCTAATCCACTTTGGAAATCTGCTGTCTTTAAAAGCATCTGTTAAAAAATACTGGGGAAACATTTCTCTGTTGGATTTTTCATTCAGTTGTTTTGATATACAGCTGTAAATTAAACACTTCCAAAGGGAACCCTTGGCAGAACACATCTGCTGCTAATCTATTTCAGATATCTCTTAAAGAAAACCTGATTTTAAAATCTTAAGAAAACCCTTTCTCACAGTTAGTACCAACTTAAGCCTTGCATCATTTGGAGAGTGGGGGAAATAACAATATTGTCAGCACACAAGGGGACCAAATGCTTTATCTGGATGAAAAAGCATCCAAAAAAAGCCCACTGAAACCAAAAATTATTGGCTGTCTACCAAAAAGGGACCCATGGTAGAGTCAGAAAAACTTCTTTCAGCAGTAACAGAAACAACTGTTCCTTGTGTTCATACACACACCATACAACTGACACCAGGAGGAGTTAAAACAAGACCACACAAGGTAATCTCAGTGCTTTGGCTGACCTCAAATCTTTAAAGGTCAAAACTAACACTGTGAACTGAACCCAAATACTAACAATGTAGATGGCAGGAGATCAGAATAATATGATCCATGGTATATATTCCACTTAGAATTCCAGCCGCCCCATTTTAAAGTAATGGGAAGCTTTGAATCATTGTTGAGGGTGACCACATGTAGAATGCATTACAGTTATATAATCTGGGAGTGACACAAGCACGAGGACAACTGAGGCCTGATCCAGTTACTCCAGGAAAGGCCACTGCTGGCAAACAAACTGAAGAAAACTGCTCATAGGCCTTTCCCTCCCTGTCTTTAGGATCTGAAAACATATCTCTTTTTCTCAATCTGATATTTTAAACTATTTTTATGATTACACTGATTTTATTGGTTGTATTTAATGGTGCTTGTTAGTGGCTGTATTTTGGAGGAACGATGGCTTAAAAATCTGATAAATAATTTGATTCACACTAAATATATTTCTACAACAAAAGTCATTTGAGATTGATTTTGACCTGTTTATGAGGTGATTTAAGCAGAATTTATATTCCCCAAGGTAGGCTCTGAGCTATCAGAAAGTCCTGAATAACCATCTACCAATGTTTTGTAACTTTGAAAGTCTTGCCTTGATCAAGTTGTGAAATGTTGTGCGTATAGTGTTAAAATAATTAAGGGGTGTATGAAAAAAAAGTAGCCCTGAAAATGAAAGTACTTTTAAAAAATGAAGCTTGAACAGCAATTTACTAAAAATTACTGCAAAAGAATAATCTCTCCAGCCGAGCAAGGTTACTGTACCATAACATTCCTGGCATTTGAACCTGTTTTAAAAATGGTAACACCTAAACAAAACAGAGAATTGAAAGTGTACTGAAATTATTTTTTGTGATTGGTACAATGTGAATATGTGTTAATATGACCTGAGATGGAGTTTGCAAGTCCTATAACTTACATACTCTGTATGTAGCTACAGTACTTTGAAGTTACAGCTCTTTGATTGAACAGCTTTACAAGCTTCAGGGTTTGCAAAATTTTGGTCATAACTATTATGTTTATTGTCATAGCAACAGCCTACCAGAGTCTGAGCTATAAGCTCTTGTAGTTACAGAAGATGCAGGGACAATAGAAACGTTTATTATAAAATTTTAGTTGGTATACCAGGCCCCTGAACCTCAAGGCCCTGCAGAAAGGAGTACTGAAAGTTGATAATGGAGATATAAGGTTATAAATAATGGCCAAAAAGATAGCCAGGGAAGGAGCATCACATACCACACCATGTCACAATAACTGGGTACCAACAACAATGATTAGCAGCAGCAACCTTCATTTCCAGATAACAACACAACAATCAACATGGATTTACCTCCCTAGATTCAAACTGATTTGTCTGTTGAGCACTTAGAATTATTTTATGTTTGTTCTTAATATGCTTAATATGAGTTAGACGTTCAAGTCATTTTCTGTAAAAAAAATTATCTTAAGCACTTAGCTGTTTTCAAGAAGTATTCTCTGCTTTTTAAATGTGACTTTTTAGATTATAAACGCTTTTATTTTTAGGATGTAATTTAAAACATTATTTTAGATATTTTATTTTACATTTTATGCCCCTGTATTTTGGATTGAATTCTGTCTTTAGTATTTACCTGCAATTTAAATTTAGTTTTCATATATTTCCAGGCAGTTATGCCTACCATTTCCCACAGCTATAAGACTTTTGAATACTTAGGATTTTAATTGTGTACTTATAGAATTAGACAAGCTGATGTTGACTGGAATCATTGCAGCAATGAATATACCTTGATAATTTGAAGAATTTTGACATAGTTGGAAATAATTGTATGATTTCACTCTGTAATTAAACCTTAAATGGGATAAATATCAGCTGTGAATAACACAGGTTTCTGATTTTTCCCTTGACATGTATAAAGTTTTTTAGGGCTCCTAGGGAGATGTTCAGGTGTTAGACTCCTTTGTACTCACTGTTCCTCATCACCATTGACACTAACTTCCACTTTGATTTAATAGATATAAATCCAGAGGATGCAAGCTAAATACTCTTCATTTTTGTTCATGTGGTTTCTCCACCTTTCACCCACAATCAGCCAGGGCAAATTGCAAGCAGGGTCTATTTAGGTGGAATGGTAGCATGAACTTTGATTTTGCATTCCATGCCTGCTCTTTAGGCTTCATTTCCTCTGACTGTCAATTTGCCCTCTTATTTAAACTATATTTGATGTTTCAGAATTACTAAACAAAAGCACTTACTGTATTACAGTCTCTTTAGGTGTCAGATCGTACTTTAGTACAATCAAGGACTTCCTGGTGTTCTGAATTTAACAGCATCCAGCACCATCATTAAACATTTATTGCTCCTTTAAAAACTTAATTTACATTTTTGTTGTTGGTGGGGTTTTTTAAAGAAAAAATCTACCCTGGGCTCACTGAACAAGTTATTTCAAGAAACAAAACAGTAACTTACAGGCATCAGTGACCTTCTTACACATTCCCTAAGGGTGTGTGATTGTGTTCCAGCAGAGGCCTTGAACATTCAGTGCAGTTGGGTCAAAGCCATGGGTATTACAAAAAATGCTGTAGGTGGCCCTGAGTTTTACTTGAACAACCATTACAAGTTATAATACTCAGAAGAGAAAGCGAACTCAGCAATTCCTTTCTTAAATAAACCAATGGTTGCCAAAGCCTCGCTAGAGCTGAATTTAGGAAATGCACTTAATTAGCAGCCCCTTCCTTCTACTCATTTCTTCTTAGTCAAAAATAATTTCACATCAGCCTCGTGCATTTGCAGAAGAACTAGAGAACTCTGGGGCAGTAGACTGGATTCATTCTCTACCAGACTCCTCATCTGGCTGCCAAGGTTTTTCTGTTGACCTCCTCCCTCTGATTGATGGCCCAACATAAGAGACTATTTAGAAATAGTCTAAATAATGGAACTGATCTCCAGAGTGTTGCAGAAAACTGTTATTTGGAACTGAGATCTGCTTCACAGCCTAGGAAACTGTTGCACAGAACTGAGAAGGCAGTAGTATTACTTTTTTAAAAAACTATTTAAATCAGGTTTAGCCTGTTCTGAATCATTGTAAAATTGATAAAAACACAACACATGTGTAAGTACAGATTAATTTGACAGGGAATCATGTTTTTTGAGCAGCAGTGAGTGGCACCAGAGGTCCATTTGTTTTAATGCAGATCAGTGCTCACAAGGCATTACTGTGCATGTGGAGGCTTTTCTAGATCCAGCTTGTTCAGCTGGTTCCTATTGCACTTCCCTCTTCCAAGTACACACATCCAGAGTATACACTCAAACAATTATGCATGCATATTTCTCTGAATTCCATCCTTGGATTAGAGAGAGAAAGCACATGCATCTGGCTAGGGTGTCCCTTCAAAAACACAATATCCAACATTTGTTCATGGGGAACACAAACTGTGATTCAAATAACACATGATTGTCACATGACTTGGAGTTGATTTAACCCGCTTTCATTTACACCGACACATATTCAAAATTATTGCTTTAATATAAACCTCAATTGTGTTTTGCAGCCTGGGAAACTATTGCACTGGGGTATACTTATCAGCAGACATATGCAGAATTGTAAAGTGTGTTGCATGCCTGAAAATTATTTCACTGGTTATACATCTCAGTAAATACGTGCAGAACTGAGCTATGCTGGTGAGAATTATGCCTTTTTCCTTAAAGTTGTCCACCAAAAGGTGCACAGCTACCACAGCAACCACAGGTCACGAGTCTTCTGAGAGGCATTAAAATTCCATTTGAATTAAAGTCACTATTTCTAAATTATCAGCTAAACATATAAATCAGCATGATAGCTCAGTGGCTTAGGCATCTGGGTGAACGCCAACAAACAGATCTATAACCCTGCACCATGCAATAATCGTAAGAAAACTTCTGCCCTAAAGCTGGGCACCTGGAATGTAGGACAATGACCCCTGGCATTTCTGACTATTTCTGACGACCTGCAGGAAATAGACGATGTGCGCAAGACAGCTGTCATCAACACGGA